CTCAAGGTCGGCGGTAGGAAACGTTCAAACCTCAGTAAATATTGTTTTTCTCATTCATGCAGTTTCCGGATGGGACAAGTTCAACGTGGAATTCGTTCCCTGTTGGAAAGTTGGCTACCTGGACAGTGTTCGTCAGTGTTTGGGGTGCTGCATGCATTAGATACAACTGGTAAATGTTGTTGCACAGTCAGTTTGGTGAAGCTCAGGCACAACCGACTGTGATTAACCATTCGCGTTGTTTGCATAGATCAGGTTTGAGAGTGCGAATGGCTAGAGCCTCGTCAAATTTCAGTAATTTTGTGTTTGCTGTGTCCTAGATGACAAAGAATGCGTGGGGTGGTGTGAAACAGTGTTTTTGTTCGAGTAAATGTTGCGTTGTCGAAGATCTAAGCTTTCTCCGATCATTCGATGACGTAACATTTGCAAAATTATCGTCCATTACTTCCTTAAGCCACACCGGGATGTGTTCGGCCATTCGGTGACTTAACTGCCTCTCTGTCCTGCCTATGTAGACGGCCGAGCATCCACACTTGAATTATAAAATACAATTTGATTTGGCGGAGGTAGGCAATATTTCTTTCACCGATGTCGTTGGTATCCGGGTGGTAGTGAAGACAATGGCTGGGTGAACTGCGTAATAGACTCGCTTGACAGCAGAGTTGAACTGCTTGCTAACGAGTTCACTCACGTCATCGCCTTTGTATGCCAACATCAAAAACGTTTTCTTGTTCGGAACAGTTATTGAACTGTCTATTTTTGGTGTTACTTTACTAAGCTTGGTGATGAAAGCGCTTGGATATCCGTTTGTTTGTAGTGCTTTTTTTAGGACGCTGTCTTCGTCGCTTAAACAATCTTCTATGCGTATTTCACGAGCCCGATGAAATAGTGTGCGAACGAGCCTAATTTTGTAGCTCGTGAAATGCAAGTGTTGCCCAGACCACGTGTGCTTTCCGAAGACAGATCTTTTAATTGATCCATCTGGACGACAAGTAATATTTATGTCTAAAAAGTCGATGCGATCATTCCGTTCGTCGTGACGACTAACCTGAATGTTGCTTGTTACGTCATCGATTGATCGGAGAAAGCTTAGATCTTCGACAACGCAACATTTACTCGAACAAAAACACTGTTTCACACCACCCCATTCCATGTCATCTACAACACAGCAAACACAAAATTACTGAAATTTACCGAGGCCCTAGCCATTCACACTCTCAAATCTGATCTATGCAAACAACGCGAATGGTTAGTCACATTAGTTTTGCCTTGGTGATTGACCCCCGTTTTGTGTTTTTGTGTTGCGTTGTCCGTTGTGATTAGCGATCTTGTGTTTTTTCTCTTAAATCTGTTATATAACTGACTATAAACATCAGTTGGACTGCAGTATGCACCTGTACAGATGCAGCGAAATGACCATGGATACATTGCGCAAACCCATGTTTCTGACTTCTCTATTCAAATTCGTGACGGGAAAACAGTGTTTTCAACAACCGACTGCCTTCAGTGCTCAAAATGCACAAGGACACATAGAATATGGGTGAGATAAAAGTGCAATACCCATGTCATTCCCAGGAATATTTTTTTTCTACGAATACATCCAGTTGATGCTTTTACTGGGGATTTTTTTATTTCACAACTGATGCTAAAGAAATTGCCGTTGAAAGCAAGAAACCCTACATGTACTCAGCTGATGTAAATAAAACAATTGCATATTATGGTATATATTTTTCATTTGTTCTCGGGGCAATATCACATCCAATCCAGTGAATAAGGCCTAAAACACTATTTGCGTTGGAACAAACAAAGCTGATGGAAGTCAGGTTTTTGCACGCGTTTGCTCGATATCTGGCTTTCAGCTTGTAAATTTCAATGAAAACTGTTTGTTATTGAATAAATCAAAAAAAATTAAAGCCAAATAAATTTAGAAAAAAGGAAAACTATTCCTCAAAGAAGAGTACAAATCCAGCAAACCAACTTTAACTTGATTCTATTTCATCAAATGTTATTACATGAACGTTTCTCTTCAACTCGGAACGGGGATTATAAGTTGAGCGAAGCCTAGTAACTTGCAATAAACGAAATTAGGAATAAAGACTAAAGAGAACCGTTGGCAATAATCGCTGGATTATTCTTGAAGTAGTATTTGTGAGCCCTCTTAATCGCGGTGTTTGTTGAAGGAAAGGGTCGTTCATTTGGTTTTCCTCCTCGCGTACAATAATGGGTGAATCCAGTAAGATGCTTCTGAACGGATTTTCACGAGGGACGCCGGCTCCCTACCACCATTGCTGTCCTTGCAAGTGACGGACTGATTATGAATAAAACGATTGGGTAGTGGAAAAAATTAGAATCGATAATTATGGCCCGCTCCAGTGTGAACTGGTTCACCCACTGGCCTCGCGCCTTCTATCTGAGAAATCAAAACCCAAACAGGAGACAGGATATATTCTGTCAAAGAAATCTGATAAGTGAGAAGCTGAAATTTAATGCTTCCGACGTGTTTTTAGCGTTGATTGAAGGAGCTGCAGTTTGAGTTTGGGGCTGATGATGTTTGAACGATCATCATTTTCTTGATCAGTAGCCACATAATCATAGACCCTGCTGCATTTTGTCGTATCACTTCTAGCTATCGATAATTGAAAACTCCTGGAGATATATAGGAAGTGAGATAATCATATCAGTGCTCTTAGTTGATTAGTCGCCTTTCGACAGTTCATAGGCAAGATCAGAAAACAGAGTAGATGTTTCCGGCAAGAAAATATCAAATTTTTGAACAAACCTTTTGGTACAATAAACACAGACCGTTCACGTATCACAGACGCCACTTTCCGCAAGTAAACTGTATGCTCTCCACACAATTCCGTCTGATATGAAGTCTGACCGATCGGTTGTGTAACATCGAAATGATAAACTGCTCCGGACGTTTCCACTGACGTAGGAGCGATCACGAGAATGTGATACTGCTTGTAATTCGGGTCTGGTATTTCCCAGTTTATGAAAATTATTTTGTCCACTGGACTGACATTTAATGTCGCTTGAGCGTTGAATGGAATTTGCGGGAATTGTGAACAGAATTTATCAGCAAGGCGTGGAAATTCAAGCAGTGGTGTTCCTACTGAACACCGTACTAAAATTTGGTGATTCATATGAGAAACGGTTAGGAAAAAGTAACCATCAATTCATTTCCAATAGACCTCTGCGAATTTTTATATTTTAAAAATTTCAGGCCTCACGTTCTACATTTCCTGAATGATAAAATATGGCAAATGTTGGAACATCTCGGTTTGAATGGATCTTCTATAATACTTATGAACAGTATATTTTACATGGCAAAACTACTGCGTATGAAGCGCTGGCGGTTAACGTTCGCCAAACGGGTCTACTATATACCCTATCATTTACCAGTCTATAAAAGACTTAGACATTAAGGAAATCCGGTTCAGCTAAGCATCAAATCTATAGATCGATCGAGAAAATTAGGGCCTGTGAAATCAACTCTGGTTATGCTTATTACCTATACCACAGCCGGTTATGACTAGCCCTGGTGAACGGAAGATAGATTTAAACAATTTACCATTGCACCTCGTGACAAATATGCTACGGGTAAAGGAACATGGATTGAGGTCAAGACGGATGAACTTCGCATGTTTATTCGTGGTGACCGAATAGACTGCGTTTACGGTCACATACCTGGACGAAGCATATCAGATTGGACAATCCAGTCAGCGGAATACTGAACCAGCTCAATCAAAAACTGTATACATATGATGAACTGAATAAAAGCATGAGGCCAAATGAATAGCGGTCAGATCAGTTGCTTGCGTGCTACCTGTGAGATCCCGGACTTGATCCCAATTTCAATCATTTTTTCATGTTTGTTACCTTTTATTGATTATTTAAAGATTCAATTTTCAGAAAGGGCGAAGCGGCCAGTCAAAGAGCTGCCATTGAACACAGAATGTGGAAAAATAGGCGTTGATGGCGGGATCGATCGATTATCACAATGGATGAGACCTAATCAGGCAGAAACGGCTGTCCAGTACTTCTCGGCTTTTCATTTCACTAGTAATTTGCCGTGGGCACAACTAAATACATTACTTAAATGCACAATGGCTCGTAAAATCAGTCACATTGGATATCCCCAGTAGAACATAATATTGACTGCTTTATGAGGATATATGGTTTGCCTGAATTTCACATTGAACAAGTTACCCACCCATCTTCCCATCCTATCTATTTTTTAACGACCTAACCTTAGTGGAAACAACAGTGGACTCATGACAATTAAGACACTTTCCGGTCTAATGAAAGTGTATGTACTATGAAAATGCTATTCGTATTAGTTATCACACGACCGTATCCATGGTTCTCACCACTTGAGAAACCTCTTTAGTTCATCATAGTGCTCGTGAACGACAACCGCATGCATTTGGGGCTGATGATGAGAAACACTGTTAAACATTTCCACTTACACACATACACACACACACATACACACATACACACACACATACTGATCTGATTCTTTCTCCACAACAACAAAATATCTGTGGTGATAATATATCTGAATCCTCTCTGGGATTATCTTTATTGAATTGCTTCATGGTGATGATCGGGGATAGGCACTCAAATGAACATATATCACAATTAGTAGTATACAAATGACTGTACCAAATTTCCCTAGAAGCACATGACCGGTTTCGTGGTTCTGGTTGCTCGTCCGGTATGCTCATCCGGTAAATTTTGTCTTTTAATTCACACACCTGTACCCAGGAAGTGTATTTTCGTCACAATGACAAATTTGTTTTGACAGCTCTTTCAGAACCAGTCCATTGGTGAATCAATAATAAAGAGTGTGAAAATCCCTCAACATTTGGGTTCACAATGCCCTTCTTAGTTTAGTCACAACAATGTAAACTAGCAACGGACCGGGTGGGTATCCAATAGCAACCCCGTCCATCTAACAACAGATAGTCTGAGAGTTGAAACGTTTGTCACCACTAGCCGTGTGACATATCTGATTATAGAAAGATTCAGTGATACGAAAAAGGGGTTACCGAATAATTGAGCATTACCGATAACAGTTATTTGCTGTAAAACTCTTCTTGATCAGAAAGATAGAATAGACTTTTGTCCTGCACATCTCGTTTACTTTAGAATAAATAAGCTGAAATATCCGCGAACATGAACTGCCGAAAAAAAGATTGGACAAACTTACTTTGTCCATACCATACGGTAATGCGCGCCAATGGTATTCTATTTTTTTCAGAATCATCAGGAGTTGTGACGCGCAACTCACAAGGACGACAAAGCGACGGGTTCTGAACTGTGACCTCCGGTCCCATAACAATTCTTTCCAGTAGAATATCTTTTTCCTTTCGAAACTCGATATGATAGTACGGTTCTAAACAAGGATCATTTGGAATGAGTTGGAGTCGCAGCATTTTACCACCATCGAAGGATTCTGCACTCGCGTTCAGTTTGAAATCTACAAAGCAGCACATGGTTGAGAACAGTTTCATTGCAACTAAGGGAAACGAAAGGCGTATACCCAGTGTGAGATGCTTTATTATGTGACTGAAATTACGTAAACTGGACCTCCCTAAACTCTGTTCAAAAACCATCAGTTCATGTGCGTTCCTAAGCGATCTTTTGACGAAGTTTGTTCGCCAGATCGGAACTTGCCACGTTCCTCCTCCGTGGCCATTTAGTTAGCACTTTTCTGAATCCCCCATTATGGTTACCTGACTGCCCCACAAAGCAACTTTCGTGTTAATTGTAGTTACCCATTCTTCGTCCAACCTATAATCGTAATCTATTATCTCGACCCGGCATATAAACTGCCCGCGTTTTATTTGTGGTCGACTGTCTGTCACACACACACCTCCGCTATGCTTATCTTACTGTCTTCTTCAATGTCACTCGTTCACTGTTCGTTCTTTTCTTAAAATCTCTTGACCCACATGCTACCGCCCGCTGTGTGTGACTAGCCACCACAGACATCCACTTCGCGTCCGTTGTCTATACTCCCACTTACACTGTGATTACAGTTGTCACCTATTGCCTCACACCCGTCTTTGCTATCAATTTGCTATCCCATCCCTGTGATTGACCCTTACCGCCATTTAAATAGCACTGTCACTATATCCACATGGTAATCTTCTTCCGATTTCCAAGAGTGTCTTCCTGGCACGTTTGCTCTTGTTCCCTCTAACCGATTGTTTTGTCCAGACTGGGTTTCCCCTAATCTGAGTACACGTAGATTTTACAGTCTTGCGCTCTGCCATGGATTTGGGGATCGGTATCTGCGAGTCACTCTATGATCGGACACCAATCCGGTACACCCAGTGATGGGCACACATCCACACTTACACACGACGAACAATCTTATACAAAATGCAATATCTTTTGTTTTGCTCAATTGGAACAAGACAGTGTTTCCTTTTATTAATGAAGTTACGTACCTACTGATCACATCGTCTCAGATGTCACCCCATACTTTGGGGGCTTCTCATTTCTTTGCTGCACCCAAGTTTCTATTTTAACATATAACAAGCATTTCTTCATTCACTGTGTGATCGATCCCAAGTGGCGGGTTCGCATTGGTAAAGATAACCTTTAAAAACAAATGGTCGGAGGCCGCGGCGGCGGTAAACTGGAATTTGTCAAGGCTAGTCTCACGGCCAGTTTGGGCGGACACAGAAAACAGTGAGGGTTGAGGTAATTTATCTATTCGTAAACCGTGACTAGGTCACTTGACGCCAGCGTAAAGAAAATTACAAACGTGGCGTTACAGAATGACGTGTAAGATTCTGATACAGTCAAATCAAAACAGAAGTGTACAATCACAAACACAGAAAAACAGAACAGTAGGAAGAAATTACCGAAGGAATGATCGTTCAACTTTGGTACTCCGTCATCTGACATTGAATATTCTGTGTGACGGAGTACGTGTATATTGTTATTCATATGTGAACTACTCATAAATTTATAGTAGTCAAATTGCAAATGCTGAAACATTTAAATTCCCTTCAGTAGAATTTGCACAACCATATCAGTTGAAAAATAACTGATTGTAATTCTTTGCTTCTTACTCCAAGCCCGTCCATTCCTACAACTCTTGCATGTTGTTGTACTAATAATACTCAAGTTATCTGTCCAATATGCAGCAGAAATCTATCTGTCTCCCGCTGAAACGCGGGTGGAGGGGCGATTGTGAGACGAGTCTCCCTCACATTCACCGTAATTACCACGACAAATAGAGGTTGTTTCTCTTCCTAGTACGCATACGCACCTCTTTCTCAGTTTCTGCGCGTGTTCGTTCACTTTCACCTGAAACGTTATATCGGGCAGTGCTCCACCAAGAGCAGTGGATCATGCGCCATCGACGCGTGAGCCAGTCCTTACTTTCGCAGCATGATACTGCGATGGAACTCATAAGCTAAACCGAAAGCGGATGCACTGCGACACCAATCGATCATGTTCAATCGATAAACGCATCAGTGTTGACCAGATTTATATCCAGGTTTTTCGACACTCAGGTCATATTTCTTCTGTGTATGATACCACCACAGAAGCACCCTCAATACTGAACAATCAAAATGACCATTTCTGTCATATACCCGGGTTGAAATGAGAAAGTTGAATGGGACAGTTTCATTTCTCGATTCAGTTTCACGATGGGAACACCAACGTGGTCATCCATAAAATAGTGATTACCGAAGCCACTATCAATCAGAAATCGTGAAAATGTTGGATAAATTTGTAACTTTTAGGACATAAGAACACCTTTTCTGCATAATGCAGATCAGTGCTACATAAGCCGTATTACTAAAATTGTCTTGCTCTGCGTTCATGCTGGTCTTCAGTTATTCAGAAAGCTAATGTTCAGCAAATAAAGGTCCGAGTAGCGTAATTACTACATTGGTTTTCATAACTGAACCACAGCGCAACATTTCACGGGTGTCATTCGATATACATCACACATTGGTAAGCAAATTGGAGCATTCTGTGTCCTTGACATGATATTATCTAGACTCGTGGATGTGAAAAAGAGGAAGACATTTTTCGGCGCGGGATGCAGTTCCATCGGCGTACTGAAAGGTAACTCGAGGATGTGACCAAATTTGAGTAGAAGCGAGGGATTTAAATTCCGTCAAGCCGTATCCGATAAAAACTCGGTGAGCAACAGCGGGAAGATGCTTAGGAAGACGTTTATTCGTACTTCCCTGTCCGTATGAAATCGGACCCTGCTAATCGTAAATGACATGACGATGGAGGTTGCGTGGACATCGTCACGATTTCAAACGTTCTAAATTTACCAACTTATGTCAGTGTCTTAGATAAGCATAAAAGCCACCTGAGAAAAGGTTAACCAAGCTTTAACTTATGGCTGCTGTCGGTTAATACTTAGAAGTGCTCGGTGATGATGAATGGTTCACAGAATCCAGTTATCAAATATTATCCCCTGACATTAAGAACATTCATATTTGGGAAAAGCTCGATCCAAAACCTATATCTGCCAAAGATTTAGGGGTCAGCAAAGGTGGTAGTATGTGTCTACCAGGAGTGCGGGGAGTGCTTTTGATGATCCGGAGAGCCTGTGGCGGAGCGAAACAAGAAACATGACGGGAGTTGTTCATTGCGTTTGTTCAGGTTTCTTTGGGATATTGCATACAACTAACCCTCCTTCCCTAGGCCTAATGAGAGATTAGGTAGCTCAGAGTTAAAGGTCCAATGAATTATGGATTTCCAGGTCGTGTTTATTTCTGGAGACTGCGTTCTTCTCTTGATTTTTGAATACATCGGTCAACCGCATCCCTGTAGTTAAACCAAAATGAAAACTAACTCACCTGATTGGGCCAACTAAGTTGTTCTCATTTTGGGCCGTATTTTGAGCCCATAAGGCTCAGGTTAGAAAGAATCATGAAGGGGTCCATAAGATCTC